GGGATTTTTTTTCCCCCTTGCCCTTAGTTTACATAACCATATAACCTTGAAAGCACACAATTATCAGTGAACATGGAGGCTGGAGCAGAGAAACATGTAGGGCTACATTGATAGTCAGTCCTATTGTGTGCAGTGTAGAGACCTTGTATAAATACAACAAGCAAGCTATAGAAGGGATACATTTTTTTTTCCTCCTCAAGGCTACTCAGCTACTCAGCCACTCACACATCAATTGACACAGTCAATGGTATAGTCTGTTTGTAGTAGAAAAAAATACCAGCTGAAGGCTTACCATGCTACCACCGCAGAAATATTAGAGCTGTGAAATACAGTGAAATTCTGTCACCAGTTAGCCTTTCTGAGACTTCTGACTAGACAAGTATGCGATGCCTTGATGCTTGAGAATGTTCTAGGGTCACACATCGAGATTTCTGTTGTATGCAGGTAATCCCACTCTCGCCCCTGCAAAGAATGGTGGACGTTGAAAATTAAACAGCCGCCTGCATTTTTCCCTATAAAATAAATGATGTTATTTTTAAAGCATGCCTATGCAACATTTTGTGCATAGATGGAGGCCACCTCACGCACCCCAAACAGCCATTTTCTGCCCCTCAAGCTGATTGAGGGGAGAGTGCACCTCCCAAGAAGAAAATTCTGCCATCAGGTTAAAGGAGAAAATATTTGCCTTTCAAGGCAGTGTAGCCCTCATGCAGATGACACGGTCATGCCCAAAGATGTAATGAGGTATGTTTGCTGTACACTACTGAGCATGCACGTATGTAGGCATGTAAATTAGCTACGACTATGTAGCATACACCCAGTAAATGAATACAACAGCCAATGTCTTTGAAGACTGACAATAATGCCATTATAAAAATAAGCTTCTACATTCACCCAAAAATCATAAAATGTTTCAGGGAGTAGCCGTGTTAATCTGTGACTTTAAAAACAAGTAGCACCTTAGAGACTTATAAAAATATATCGAATCATGATTCTGTATGGTTTTTGTTAGTCTCGAAGGTGCCCCAGGACTACTAAGAATCATAGTTGTTCGTGTCCTCGGAAGAATTTTGGGCTGGTAGTGCATTGAATTTCATTCTTCAACGATAAGTCATTGGGGAAAGACAAGATACCATAACTGAATTCTAACCCCTTTCTCCCAGGCCACAACAGTTGCCCGCTTACAGATTCTCAAAAGAAAGGTTCCTTTCAGCTTGTTAAATTTTGGCTGTGAACAAACTCAAAACCGAGATAAAAGGAATCTTTCAGGGAGCATCAGGTGTCTTTTTTGTTGGGTAATTTTCTGTAAAAATCATGCAGGACTACTGCAAAGAATTTAGAATTAATTAAGGAAGGTGAGGAATATAATAAAGCCTGAAAAATCACGTTTGCCCATAGGCAGATGGGTGCAGCTGGACTAATTCAAGTCTCCCAGCTCTAATCTACCTTGTCTGGATTAAAGAGGAGTAATTTGTTCAACATCTTTTAACTAAGGAGAGCCAGTTGTGTCATATCAAGGAGAACTGTGGGTGGTTGTTTTCTGACTACAGTCCATTAAAAGCTAAGCTTAGACTTCCAAACCCTTTCACTTCTGATACGAGCCAAACTCGTACCTAATTTCCTTGAGACGAAAGGCCGGTGCTCTCCCCTAATCTGTCAGTCAGCTACCAAAGTCTGGAAATAATTTTAAAATTCCTTCACATTATTCAAGGCAGAAGAATTACTAAAATTGTGCTTTAAGCAAAACAGCATTCTTAGGTTGCCAAGGCAGTAAACACCAGCTTTGGGAAATGCAATAAGATTTCAACATCTGTTTTGGAGCTGATATTTTCACCATTCTATGTTTATTTTACATGCCTGGTTGGCCACTTTTCAGTCATACATATGCAGGGCCAAAAACGAGACAGAAAAGGGAGCAAGTCTATACTGAGTTTCAACACCAGTTAACGCTTTCCCCCTTTTGGTTATATTGATGACATATAACACCTGTTGCCCCAGCCTAGGCATACAGATGCAACGGGTGTTCGGCAAACCACCATGCGTTTAGGGACTAGAAAACTCTCTGCTTGGTCTGAAAAGAAAAAAAAAACAGTGAGCAGGGTAGGGGTAGAAAATAAGCTATTCCTGCTCTTAGTGCATTTCCAGGAACGCACTAGTCCAGGAAATACACCAATACGTTGGCCCCTATACTGCAGTGGAGCCAATGCCTTATAATGAAAGTGTCAGTCCCCTCCTGTTTTAGCCAATGCGGTTCATTGCTGCATGTCGCATGAACCTCTCTAGGCTGATCTGTGTTTAGTGAGCTTTCCCTGTACAAGAAATGGGGCATTTTTAGAAGAAATATTTGGTGTTTACAATGCAAACTCCCAAATGACAACTAAACCATTTGAAACAAATTCATCAAAAGTTTTACAGCTAATGCCAGGCCAGGTTGGTAATTAGAGGGGACAACCCTCTCACCAACACCACCTCGTGCAAGTGGGTTTTCCTCTCCGTGGGCGGCCCTCCCCACTTTTTGAGTCAATATTGAAGCAGTGGTCAGGGACACGGTGTTGCTAAAGGTATTGTCTTTACAGTGAGACAGACTGGGGGGATCCTGATCACTTGCCATCACTAAAAAATCCATGCACATTTTGTAAGGGCTAACAGTGACGTCCTGACCAAATCCCTCCTGTGCAATTGCCTGCCTTCAAAAATTCCCCTAGGGGCACGCTGGGGGACGTTAACTGCAAAGACTAGTCTCCTCTCCCTGTCCTAAATGATTGTGCATTGTTTAACAGCTGCTGCTTTTAATCCCAGAGGTGGCTGCCTTGTGATGGTAAATGAAATCACCAGTATACAATGTATAGCTTGTATATGTCAGGGAAATGCAGGATATGAATTTTAACTGACTGCTTAACAAATATAGTAGCGTTAGGGTATTAATGTCAGTATCTCTAGAATGTGCATCCTTTGCACTGAGTGAGAGAGGAGCTGGGGCTGGACTTCTCTTATTTGTCCTATAAAAAAGCACTTGTCTATTCAAAATAATGCTGCAGTTGTAATGGCTTTCTGTGTTTGCCTCTTCGCCATGCAGCTCAGCATTCCCATACATAAGGTGAACAGACTATATTATCCTTATTGAGCATGGGTCTAAGGGCTCTATTTATGGAGGAGAGACGGAGAACAACCCACACGTGGTTAGTATGCTCTTCCTAAGTAGGAGATTTCTGTTCAAATCCGTTCTCTTTGAGCAGAGGGGGGAACTGAACCTCGCCCATCCTGGGTGTGTGCACTGACCACTGGGCTAGGTGGATTGTTGCACTACCATTTCCTCACTCTGCATTTTGAATGGGGTCTGACCCCTTAGGCATACTCAGAGCTTGCCTATAGGATCAGGCCTTGTTGGCAAGACAGGCACGCCTCCATCTAACTTTCCTCAATTCGTGGATGACGCTGAGGCTCACGTGGAGGGTGGGCATCCAGACAGTTGAGGGAAGCAGCAGTGAACATGCTCAGAGACAAACTAGGGTACTTGGTGGATCACAACAGAGCCTAGCCTGGGGACTTGGATCACTAACCGTGGGGCTTCAGTGCCTGTGTCCTTTTGGAGCTGGGACTTGGTTTGTGCTAGTTACTATGGACTCATTCCTTACGGTCTCCTGGGAAGAGGTGAGCTTTTAGGGAAGAGAACAGATCTAATCTTCCTCTGATTAAAGGCGAATTTTGCTATTGACTTTAGAGCCTGGTTCCACCTTCATCAGATGAACAAGAAAGGCTGGGAGCTTGGGCTCGGAAGTGGGAGGTCTCAACACATGGAGGTGGGAAGGTACAAAGAAGATATCAAGGCTTGGGCGGGGGAGGTAAGAAGAGAAGGGAACAATAGGCCAAGTCCAAGATGGCTCAACAGGTGTGATGGTAGTGTAGATGAAGGTTCTTCCTGCATATAGCCCAGTCCAAACTGCCCTGGAATCCATGAAGATCTCCTTGACTGGAGCCTGCTTTGGGTCAGATCCCATGTGTGTTTAGGGCGTCCTGAAGAATACATCAGTTAGCTGCTTTTGTCTTTAAAGCCGGGATTCAGAGTTAATCTTTGGAAGCAAGCAGCTCTCCACCACCTTCTGGTCAAGTCTGCCATGGCAGTACCTTGCCACCCCAGAGTGTAAGGATTAAGAAGTTGGGAAGTCTCCATGCCTGCGAACAATTCGCAGTCTTCATAAAATGAAGACAGAGAAATCCCAGCTGAGCCTCCTGTTCTGGGTGCCCCAGCCAGGAAATGTGGGAGAGATGAGTTGGTGTCCTAGACGGGTGTTTCTCAACCCATGGTACGAGTACCCTTAGGGGTACTCGAGAGAAGTCTGGGGGGTACGTCAACACAACTGAGGTTTGGAGAAAACTGAATTTTTGTTTTAAGTTTTACAGCGCTTTATTATTTTTGTACTTTTTACATCCAAAAATTTCATTGCCCGCCTGGCTACAATTAAGTTGTTTAAACAAATGTGTTGCAATGGTAGAAAAAAAAATTGTGTGTCTGAAAACTGTAGGTACTGGGGGTACTTATAATATTTTTTTTAAAGGGGTACTTTATTTAAAAAAGGTTGAGAAACATTGGCCTAGACACGATGAAAAAATTCTTACCAAACTTCTCGGACGTTTCAACAAATCACCCTCCAGATAGAAACTGAGCTGGTACCTAGACACTGAGGTGACAGGTGCATCCGACATGCCATCGATCAGAAAAACATTATTTAAAGAAACACTGCTTGCGGGTTAAAAAATATCTCCAAAAATCGCATCCTTGCTGATCAGGGGAGCATGTCCTCTTGACTTCATTGCAGTCTTTGAGCGAGAGGCTCTTTGTAAGTGCTGAGAGCCCCGGGGGTGGGGAGCAGTTGCTCTTAGCTCTCTAGTAGCAGCACTTGGTGGAATGGCTCCATGAAGGTGTCGAAATGGCCTATGCTGTGCTCCTTTGCAAGGGACTAGATCAGCCCTCTAATGTTTCCTTTTCTTTCCTTTTGCAGGTGCATTGCTGTTGGGAGGAATTCTCTACTCCTGGCAGTTTCCTCATTTCAATGCCTTGAGCTGGGGCCTCCGGGAGGATTACTCACGAGGAGGCTACTGCATGATGTCTGTCACCCACCCTGCCATGTGCAGGCGGGTTGCTCTGCGTCACTGCTTGGCCTTAATTGGACTCTCCACGGTGGCCCCTCTCCTCGATGTCACCACGTGGAATTTTCCCCTTGTTTCACTCCCTATCAACCTGTACATTTCCTACCTCGGCTTTCGCTTCTACAGGGATGCAGATCGTAGCAGCTCCAGGAAACTTTTCTTCTGCAGCCTGTGGCACTTGCCAATGCTTCTCCTGCTCATGCTTACGTGTAAGAAATCCCTGCTGGAGAGCGAAGACAAAAGCAACCATCTCCGCTGAAATCACAGCCATACTGTGGAAATGGGATTGCCTTCGTGCCAGTCGGAGCTAGCGACACCTCTGTGCTAATTATGGGTGCGAAAGTCTATGGTACTGTGTTTAAAGAGAATCCCTTGTGCCCGGAGACCACTTTACATAATTCTTTTCTGATTTCTTTTTAGAGGGAGGGACTTGGGGGACTTAAATAGGCTGGGTCAATGGGATCAAAGCCTTTTTCACTTCTGAGGTCATGAATTTAAACTCCAGCCTAGGTGAAAAATGAATCCTGTCCCCTTGGCTTCCTGCTAGCCCGTGTGAAATGAGCTTGGTGAACAGTGACAAGAGGGGCGAGTGAAGTGAGAAAGTATATGCATTGCAGAAGCATCATCCCCCCAACTGGCCCTCCTCATTGACATTCTTAGTGAGGAGGCCAGGGAGAGCGTTTGCATCTTGAGCGTTCCTCTGGCCCCCTATGAGCAGGCAGAACGGCATTGGGGCACGTTGGCAGGGTAGTGAGTGGGAAGTTTTCACTGCCACGGTTGTGCCATCCCACCTATGGCTAAATGAACAGCGTCAGTTGCCAGGACTGTCAATCCAGCACCTTTCACAGGGAGTCGGTTCACTTTCATATGTTTTCAGAGAAGCCACATTGTGTTCCATCAGGTCTTCAGCACTTTGTAGCTCATACAACACACGGTGCATTAGCATTTAAAGAGCCTCTGGCTGAACGGAGATAGTTCCTAGTCCATATCTTTCAGATAGAGCGATTTTTATTCTACTCTGTCTCAGAGGAACTTCTCGCCCTACCTAGAGCACGTTCTAGGAGTGATCGTCAGGGCTTGAATGCTCAGGACCAGATCCTCAACTGGTGTCGACTGACATAACTACTCCAACTTCATGGGAGCGTTGCCCATTTACACCAGCTCAGGATCAGGCCCTCAGAGTCCAGGAGTTTCAGGTTTTCTAATAGGAATTGTGCCAACCTGTTCAATCTAAAAGTCTGTCTGCTGGTGAGACGTTTCCTGTAATTAATTGAATCCTGAGCTTGCATTAAGGAATGTGACAACTGTATTAAGTATCACAGCACAGATGCCGCTCCAAGAGAAGATTGCTGTGAGGAGCGTTATTGGTGGGGATCGTGGTTTCTCCACTCTGAGGAAAACCATTTTTCATTCCAGCTCGAGGCTGAATTTAAAGGCTAATTCAGCAAGTCCAGATTGCAACCAGTACTGCTGAAGTTTACTGGAAGGGCTTGGCCTCCCAGGGAAAACGTGTCATGTTATAATATGTTAATTAACATGATGTAAGGCAGTGCAGACAAGCATTGCTCTTTCGAAGTCCTATTAGTGGGCTGTGGCTAACCCAGGGTGCACTGCACCTTTAGCCATGACCAGCTAACATGATGTTAAACATAGCAGCACACAGTGTAGACAAGGGGTAGGTGATAGTTTTCATTGTGTTTGTTACCAAGCGTAAAATAGCTTGCATTTTCCTCACTATAAACAAGGGATGTTAAAATGCAATTACTTCCCAAATCGAATAGTCGATAGTTTTCTGTCGACTGTTCGATTAGCGGATTAGGGTAGGCAGTTGTGGTGCTCAGTCTGGCTCACGCCAATTCACAGCAAAACCTCCCCAGCTGCATCATAAGGCATGGGACGGATATTCACAGCAAAACCTCCCCAGCTGCATAATAAAGCATGGGACGGATGGATGCGCGCACACACACACACACATACGTACGTCTGTTGTGAGGTCCTAGGCTGTTTAATGCAGAGTGGCAGCTGGGTGTGGGTGTGGATTAGACACTAGCATCCCTCCTATCAACAAGCCCCAAGCTTTTCCCGATGTGTATAGTGTCCATTTGAATACTGTTCCAAGGGCTTTTGCTGATGGACAGTTCTGCCAGTGGTGAAATGGAATAATGTATCTAGCCTGGTATAAAAACCTGACCGCATCCTTTAATGGTGCAGAAACAGATTCTAGTGTCGCTGACACTGGTGTCAATCAGAAGTGACTCCTTTATCTTTGGCTTCGCTTGGCAACCGAGCTCTGTGGGAACAGAATCAGATATTTTAAGTGGCATTTAAAGCCTCTCTCCAGTGATTGCTCACCCCAGAGCTGAGTTCCCTGCTACTGTTTATCTGAGACACCCTCTGTTTGATTCGGGCTGTTTACTGTGGGCACACTGCATAGGAATACAGCCCAGTGCAACTTCTAAATCTGTAAATGTCTGATTTATTCTGCAATAAAACACATATTGTACAAGAGAAATAGCGGCCATGGTATTATTTCTTCTTCAAGTGCTTGCTTGTGTCCATTCCACAATGGGGGTGTGTGCTCGCCACATGTACTGGTGCCAGAAGCTTCCCCCTAGCAGTACCCATAAGGGAGTGCCTCTAGCAACCCCAGGAGTAGCGCCTCTCTGGCATGGTATAAGGGGTGCTACACGCTCCCCCTACTCTCGGGTCCTTCCTGCCACCAGTGACGCTGCATCGGAACAGCTCCAGCCTTGGCTGTTGTCTTCTCCCCATTGGTAGTATTCTTCATGGTCAGTTTACCCATAATGATTAGAGTAGCTGGTCCCCTAGGGACTTGGACCTAGATTGGGGCATTTAAACCTTGTGATTCATGCAAACAGTCTATGCCACTCAGTCACCACATAGAAGCTGCCTGTGCTCTTGGTGATGCTCTCGTCAGCAACAGGTGCAAAATGTGTAAGTCCTGTAGGCCTAGGACTAAGGAGTGGGCCACTTGATTTTGAGCATTTCTCATGAGGCCCTAACCCTGGGACTGACACACTTCTTGGCGCCGGCACCAAGGGATCAGCATGTAGTGCCCCAACTGCACTCCCCCTCGCCAGCTCTGGCAAAGACGCTGAGGAGGGCAACAAGGGGCTGCTTGCTCCACCTCAGAGAAAAGGGGACAAGGTGGCGAATGAGCAGAGTCCTGTCAGACGTCTCCCCATCTGTTGCGCTTAAGGGGCTTGACTGAGGCAGAGCGGAGCACCCAGCCCACTCCATCCCCTCTCCCCCAAACAGCGGACCTCTTAAGCCACGTGGGTACTAGCATGCAAGGCCTCTGCAATTCCATGTTCCAAGGGAAAACCTGTACTTGGCACAGCAGGCTCCCCTGAGGCTCGGCAGCGAATTCCACAGAGAGAAGGGCCCAGGCACCAGGAAGCTACCACAGAAAGGCCAGCCCCACGAACTGCCCTCTGACTATCATGCCACAGGGGTTCACAGCATGGCCCATCAGTGCAGGAGTACAGCCCCTCGGAGACACATGCATCAGCACCATGGACCCATAAGCCCTCCGCACCACTGGGACACTACCCCGAATGAGCACCATGGCCTCCTACCATTGAGCTCATATCAGATGCCTCAGACCTCAGCTGGGGAGCCCATTATCAACATCAAAGAGCTCAGACCGGTACATCTCGCGTGCCAGGCCTTCTGCGCCCCTCCGCCCCCACCTCCAGGCACGGAGATCAAAGTCCTCACGGGCAATGCGGCCTCGATGTTGTATATCAACAGAGAGGAGCCCGATCTACAACCCTCTGCCAGGAGGCCCTTGAACGCTTGGATTTCTGTGTTGCACTTGAGAGCAGCCTGGAGGCTTTTCACCTCCTAGGAGCCCTGAACTTTCGTGAATTGCTTGAGCCAAGATTTCTCTTTTCACCACAAGTGGAGGCTGCATGCAGAGGTCACCCACTCTGTCTTCCAGAGGTGGGTCACTCCCTGGGTGGACTTCTTTTTACTACCATGTAGGTACCAATGACGTAGGGAAGGGTAGGAGAGATGTCCTGGAGGCCAAATTTAGGCTGCTAGGAAAGAGACTGAAATCCAGGACCTCTCTGGTGTAGCATTCTCAGAAATGCTTCCTATTCTACGCGCAGAGCCAGGTAGGCAGGCAGAACTTCAGAGTCTCAATGCATGGATGAGATGATGGTGTAGGGAGGAGGGGTTTAGATTGATTAGGAACTGGGGACACTTTTGGGAGAGGGGGTGTCTATACTGGAAGGATGGGCTTCACCTAAACGAAGGTGGATCCAGACTGTTGGCACTAAACGTTAAAAAAGCCGTAGAGCAGTTTTTAAACTAAGAGATGGGGGAAAGCCAATTGGTGCAGAGGAGCATGTGGATCGGATGGAGACTTCTCTTAGAGGAGAGTTCATTGATGGAGATTCTCTAGGCTTTAGTCAAAAAGAGAGAAGGGGAGAGGATAAAGTATGGGCCAGATCAGACAAGAAACAATCACATATACAAGAATCTAATACATCAGGGAACGGCAGACAAATAAACAGTGGCCATTTTTTAAAGTGCTTCTACACAAATGCTAGAAGTTTAAATAATAAGATGGGTGAACTAGAGTACCTCGTATTAAAGGAGGAGATTGACATAATAGGCATCACAGAAACCTGGTGGAATGAGGACAATCAGTGGGACACAATCATACTGGAATATATCGGAAGGACAGAATAGGTCGTGCGGGTGGCGGAGGGGCACTATATGTGAAAGATAATGTAGAATCAAATGAAGTAAAAATCTTAAGTAAATCAACATGTTCCATAGAATCACTATGGATAGTAATTCCATGCTCTAATAAGAATATAGCTGTAGGGATCTATTATCAACCACCTGACCAGGACAGTGATTGTGACGTTGAAATGCTAAGGGAGATTAGAGAGGCTATCAAAATGAAAAACTCAATAATGGGGGGATTGCAATTATCCCCATATTGACTGGGTTGGGTACATGTCACCTGAGGACGAGATGCAGAGATAAAATTTCTCGATGCCTTAAATGACTGCTTCATGGAGCAGCTGGTCCAGGAACCCACAAGGGGAGAGGCAATTCTCGATTTAGTCCTGAGTGGAGCACAGGATCTGGTCTAGGAGGTAACTATTACAGGACCGCTTGGGAATAGTGACCATAATATAATAACATTTAACATTCCTGTGGTGGGAAGAACACCTCAGCAGTCCAACACTCTGGAATTTAATTTCAGAAAGGGGAATCACTCAAAAATGAGGAGGTTAGCTAAACAGAAATTAAAAGGTACAGTGACTAGAGTAAAATCCCTGCAAGCTGCATGGAAACTTTTTAAAGACACCATAATAGAGGCCCAACTTAAAAGTATACCCCAAATTAAAAAACTTAGTAAGAGACCTAAAAAAGAGCCACCGGGGCTTAACCATATAAAAGAAGCAGTGAGAGATAAAAAGGCATCTTTTGAAAAGTAGAAGTCCAATCCTAGAGAGGTTAATAGAAAGGAGCATAAACACTGCCAGATTAAGTGTAAAATGTAATAAAGAAAAGCCAAAAAAGATTTTGAGAAACAGCTAGCCAAAAATTCAAAAAGTCATAGAAAAATGTTTTTAAGTACATTAGAAGCAGGAAATCTTCTAATGTGGTCAGGGTGGTGCTGATGGCTGGCTGTCTTGGCCCCGCCCTTTCTGCCAGAGGCCCCGCCCCTTCCGGGAGCCTGGAGCTGAGTCCCCCACACCTTGCTCAGAGGCCCAGCAAGGCCATTAGCTCCCCTGGCCAGAACATATTCCTACCGGTTCTCTGTCCCAAGCCCCTCTCTTCTAATGATGAGAGGCGCCTTCATTCGTTGGGTGGGGGGGGAGGGGGCTGGCCTTTTGCCTGGAGCGAATGAGGCTGTTCTGGAAATCCAACCAGTGGTTCATCTCCATTGCTGAGCAAAGGCGGGGTCAGGCTGTGTCCACCCAGAGAATTTCAAGCTGGATCACTGTGCACCTGCGCTTGCTACAGCCTGGCTGGCGTTCCCCCGCCACCGACTCTGCGGGCGCACTCAGCGATGGCGCAGGCTTCGCCGGCGGCATTTCTGGGTCATACGTAGTTGCTGGGACACTCCTTCGCCACCCATTACGCCATCGTCTCCCAGATGATGCTGGGTTCAGTAGGGCGGTTCTGCAGTCCTCTCGTTCGTGGCTCCTACCCACCTCTGAGTGGATACCGCTGGTAATCACCTGTTGTGGAATGGACATGAGCAAGCACTCGACGAAAAGACAGTGACCTGTTCCGTAACAGGCATTCTTCGAGATGTGTTGCTCACGTCCATGCTACATCCCGCCCTCCTGCCCCGCTGTCTGAGTCTCCAGCAAGAGGGAACTGAGCATTGGGGGAGCATACTGCACCAACGAGGTACCACTCCAGGGGTCACTAAAATGGCTCCCCTCTGGGTACTGCCAGGGGAAAACCTTCCAGCACCGGTGCACATGGCACGCGCACACCCATTGGGGAATGGACATGAGCAACACACCTCGAAGAACACCAGTTGCGGAACATCTTTTTGTACGCGATTGACAAGCAAATGACAATACAAGAGCCGCGTTATGCTGGTTTTGCAGCCTTCCTGCAAACAGTGACACTCGTGTCACATGATCGAGCCCGGCGTGAATGGGAAACGGAGGGGAAATGTGGATTTTGTGGTGCAAAAGGCGTCCATTGACGGTGAGAACCCAGTGGTGGCGGGGGGGTGTGGTGTGAGGGGGAAGCTGGCAATGGTTTGCAAACTGAAATCAGAGTCCGTGAGCTGTTAACTGGCTCAGGAGCTCCTGAGGGGCTTGGAAAGCGGGTGGTGGGCTTGGTGGCTCTCAGAGGACTAGTGGCTTGGTCAGAGGAAGAGGCTT